GTTTAAATATGAAGCAGATCGAAAAAAAATCGAAAAACCCGATGAAAACGTACGGAGGACGCTTTGGGAACGAAACGCGCTAACAGATTTCGAGCGAAACCCGTACGCCGACGGATGGCAAAAGAAACGGACGACGCAAAAATGGTACGAACGGCGACGGACAAAGGGCGAAAAGTCGAAAAATCGCGTAAAAAGTCGAAAAAATAAGTGTAAAACGTTTCGAAAAATCAAAAACACGATATCGACGACTGATAATAAGTATATGATTACGGAAAAATCGTGATAGCTCGGCCGCCGTCGCGAGGAAGTAACGTGATTGGCGGACGGCTAAGAATTACATGGAAGAAACGGTTTTTCGCTCGTAAATCCACTATTTTAACTCCAAAACCGACACGGGGCCGCGCCACCGTACTTTCGTTTTATATATTAAGAAGAAGAAGATTTAAATATAAATACATACCTAATATAATCAACTATACATTATGAAACAATTGCATAATATACACCGTTGAGTGTAATAAATAATAATTACCATAGGTACCTACGGAAAAATATAAAAATGAAGAATAATATATTTTGAATATTTTTGAGCTATTTATTGGCATTATTATGATATTTCGATTTTTATTAGTTTTTTTTTTAATACTTAATTGTTGATAAATAAATAAAGTTCCTCATAAATTTTCATTAGTGAAAATAAAATAAAATAATAATATTATAAATAACAATCTAAATAATACTACATCATTTAAAAATGTCAAAAATTATATTATAATAAAATAACCAATGTTAATAACCAAAATTTTAGTATACAAATATATATCAATGTTTCATATTATATTATATGTAGTATACGAGTGTACTGTGTACCTATGTCCTATAGTACATACATTGGACATGAATTTAAAAAATGTACAAAATATAAAAAACAAAACTTATTTATATTTCATTTTTTTATCCAGCTCATCTTGAATTCGTTTAGGTTCTGATATATCGGATTTTAACAATCTTTTTCCAAATTTGAGATCGATAATTTCCGGAAGAAGACAATCTAAATAAAACCTAAGAAAATAATTTTAGAAGCAGTTTAAACATATGTAATTTTTAAATTATTTTTTAACTTATATAAAATTATTATATTATATACACTTACAATTTTAGCTGGTTTTCCATTTTATTATTCCAAAATAATTCATCATATTTAATATTTAAGATGTGACCCCATGATTCAGAGTGAACCACAAAATAACATAATCTCGTATTTGTTATTCTTAGCTGAACTTGTACTTGAAAATAATATAAGCTTTGGGTTTTTAATTTAATGTTATCATTTTCTAAGTACAAGTATTGGATCTAAAATATTTTTATAATAAAAAAAGTATCAGTTAATATATTTTATAGTATTTCGAAGTACTTAAGTAGTTAAATATGTATTATGATTTCTGATTTAAGCACCTTTTTATCTACTATAGCGTCTCGAATGTGTAAATAGTCTTTTACAGTATAGGGACACTTTATTTCGATTATAGCATTTTCACCAATGATTAAGCCATCTGAAATAAAATTACATTAAAATTGTATAAATAGGTAACTGTGTTAATTGTTTTAATTATATTTACCAGAACTAGCAGCCAAGTATGGAATATCTTTATCGATAAATAAACCACAAATTTTACTTYTAATTTTGTCATTGTTTCAAATGTTTGTCTTGCTTCATCTTCATTTATTTTTCCATATTCCATTGCTTTTGAAGTGGCGTTTCCATATAAAATATCATAAACTGTATTTTTACGTGATGTATTTGCACACATTTTACAAACCCTTCCAAAATTGGATGCGGTAAGTCGAACTCTTCTTTCACTGAACCATTGTTGACAATTTCTTTGTTTCGTGTATTTTCTTCTATGGCACAACGTTGTTCGTGACTTAATTATAACGATGCAAGAAACGTTTGCTTTTGGTTTACAAACTGTTCGACATCCATAACATAATCTTTTGCTAAGGGTTCCGCAAGCCCATAAAATTCGTCCGGGCCAGTGTTTTTAATATTTTTATTTTTTTTAATTGGAAATAGTTGTCGTCGTTTTCGTGTTTCTGTTAGTTTTCGTAATTTTGTTGACAAAAATTGTTTTCCGATTTTACCTAAAATTTTTTTATAATTTTACTTATAGTTTAAACTTAATGTTAAATTAAAATAAATGCAAAAATGATCATATAATATGTGTGTCTACCAGGACTATTGTTAGTAATTTTTTTGTGCATATGTCTAAGTAACATTCCACCAGAGTTAAACGATACAATTGCAGCTTTTACACGAGTATTATACGAATTCCTCTGTGAAAAGTCAATTCGCTTTCCCACAATAAATTTATTAACAACACTGTTGAATTGTTCACAAATATTGTTCGTTACATCGTGTAATAGACTTATAGTAGCATTATCAATAAGTCGTTGTGCCACCAATTTAAATTCTGACATTAATCCACAGTTAAATGCTGCTGCCACTAAGTTTTCACTAATAACTTGTTTATTATTACAAAAGTATATATCACATTTATTATGTTGACCTAATATATAGTAAAAACTATTGCTGACAGTGGCGCCGAGTCCTATGTTTAGGTCAGGCCACGGCCTGACCACATGTTTAAAAGGGGGCCGGCGATCAGAGGGGGGCTGGACGTCTGCAATATTTTAATCAACATAATAAACTACACTTAGTTACTTGATGAAAATAAKGGATATATATTAAAACTAATACTTATTTATTTAGGTACCTAGTTCGTAGTTCAGAGACTTCTCTATCTCAGTTAAATACTAATAGCCACAGAAATTAAATATAAAAATAATG